ACTGGTCAAAGGACATTTAATCAGCTACCAAGCTTGCAAACTTTGTGTTTTGTTTTGTTTGTTTGTTTGTTTGTTTGTTTAAAAAATGCAATGCAACTGTTTGGTCTGCCCCTGACACAATAAATAAAAAAAATCATGTGAAAATTTTGCACACAATAAGTTATCTCTCCTCAATCTTGAGGACCTCTATTTATGATAATTTAAGCATTTAAGATAAAAAAAATAGTAATAATAACAACAACAATTATCAATAGTATTATAATATTACTAGCAAAACCATGAATTTCAGAATGTGCATGGCATGAAAACACGCTTGTCAGCAACATGCAAACTACTCCATCTATAAAACCATGAATTCCCTCATCATACCTACCATGATGGTGTGCTTCGGGAATCGGGCATGGACAGCTTTCACAAATTCCACAAAATGTTCCGAATAACCATTTGCGACATCGAGACAAATGTATTTGATAAGGGGAATGGCCTCTATGATATTTTCCAGTCTCTCGAAGTCAGCCATTCCACTGCCTGAGCTCACTGCTACATGCTGGGAAGAAAGGATGGGAATGATCAGCAGCTATCATAAAAATGAAGTCAAGAATGTTCTCTTAGCAGAGGAAGCCTACTGGGACTAAATCAAAGCTTATTATTATCTCGGAAGGAAGGAAGGAAGGAAGGAAGGAAGGAAGGAAGGAAGGAAGGAAGGAAGGAAGGAAGGAAGGAAGGAAGGAAGGAAGGAAGGAAGGAAGGAAGGAAGGAAGGAAGGAAGGAGTCAGACCTAATACCAATCCAAAGATTTGGAAATCTGGTACATGAATCTGCCATTTGAGACATAGAGAATTTCCATGCCTAACCATGATGTCCATTCATATATGCGTTATATTGTTTCCTCTGGACCACTGATGCTCAATAGATCTATCAATATATTACTTTATATATCTGTTCCAAAAATGCTCAGTATTGGTGCATCTACACTGTAGAATTAATGCAGTTTGACATCACTTTAACGACCATGGCTCAATGCTAAGGAATCCTAGGAGTTGTAGTTTGGTGAGGCACCAGCCCTCTTAGGCTGGATCTACACTGCCATAAAATCCATATTATCAAAGCAAATAATCCAGATTATCTTCTTTGAACTGGATTATATGAGTCTACACTGCCATATAATCCAGGGCCCTTCCACACAGCCATATAACCCAGAATATCAAGGCAGAATAACCCACAATATCTGCTTTGAACTGGGTTTTCTGAGTCCACACTGCCATATATTCCAGTTCAAAGCAGATAATGTGGGGTTTTATTCAGCTGTGTGGAAGGGGGCCTCAGTTCAAAACAGATAATCTGGATTTGATATGGCAGTGCAAATGGGCCCTTAGGCAGACAAGACTAAAGACCTTGTAATACTACAACTCCCATGATTATGTAGTATCGAATCATGGCAGTCAAAGTGATATCAAACTACATTCATTCCACAGTGCAGATCCACCCCAATGAGCATCTTCTACAGCAGGGGTCCACAAACTTTTTAAACAGAGGGCCAGGTCACAGTCCCTCAAACTGTTGGAGGGCCGGATTATAATTTGAAAAAAATGGATGAATTCCTATGCACATTGCACATATCTTATTAGTAGTGCAAAAACACTTTAAAACAGTACAATAATTAAAATGAAGAACAATTTTAACAAATATAAACGTATTTGTACTTCAATGGGAAGTGTGGGCCTGCTTTTGGCTGATGAGATAGGATTGCTGTTGTTGCTGTTGTGTGCTTTCAAGTCATTTCAGTTTTAGGTTGACCCTGAGCGAGGGCCGGGTAAATCACCTTGGGCGGCCATATCCGGGCCCCGGGCCTTAGTTTGAGGACCTCTGTTCTACAGTAACCTTCTCTGAGAACTAGTTTTCAGACAATTTATAGGACTGCAGAAGAGAGAAAATGGGATTCATAACATGCACTAGTCTCACAATGGAATTAGGCTATCATCTTGTGTTTGGTCTCTAAAGCATTTCCATTTCTACTTAAATAAAAATGTTCTGATTCTTTTCAAGTTATGTTCACATTCTATACTTAGAATCCCATTTTTCTCAATCCGGTTTCCTTTCCTTTCCTTTCTTTAATGCAATACATTCTTTCCTAGGTTGCCTAGACTTAAAGATATTTTAAAATCCATTTTCATATTCTATTCATGGTTTGCTTATTTATTATTTAAATCTATATTTACACACACCTCTTACTGAATTGAATAACTTTTATTGCAGTCAACAGACCATTAGGCAACACATTAAAACAAAGTGATAAAAACATTTGTATTAAATGTAAATACTATTAAAGCAAGTTAAAAGAATATAAAAAGCTATATATTATATCTGGTATCACCCTTTGTTGTTGAGTCATGGACCACTAATATGCCAATTTGGATATAACTTAACAGTATTATTCAAAATCTACAAAATCAGCATGAAAATCTGGTAGCTGCTTTATTTACTAGAGGATACATTTCACTGAACACAGTAGAACATGTATTGTCGAAGGCTTTCATGGCCAGAATCACTGGGTTGTTGTAGTTTTTTCGGGCTCTCTGGCCATGTTCTAGAAGCATTCTAGAATATGGCCATACAGCCCGAAAAACCTACAACAATCCTATTTTAGACTTGTCTGTTATCCACTTCCACTATCCTGTTTAATAGGAGCCCCCGGTGGCGCAATGGGTTAAACCCTTATGCCAGCTGTACTGCTGACCAAAAGGTCGCCGGTTCAAATCCAGGGAGAGGGGTGAGCTCCCATTTGTCAGCTCCAGCTTCTCATGTGGGGACATGAGAGAAGCCTTCCACAGGATGGTAAAATATCTGGGCGTCCCCTGGGCAGCATCCTTGCAGACGGCCCATTCCCTCACATCAGAAGTGACTTGCAATTTCTCAAGTTGCTCCTGACACAAAAAAAATCCTGCTTAATTCCACTGCCAATATTTAATTTAAAAGATATCACATCTTTCTCTCCTTTCTTGCACTGATCAAATACTCTATGAGAAATATTCCCAAAATTTACTGTGTTTTCTTCCTGTTCTCTCCAATGATCTGCTACAGCAAAGCCTTTTTTTCAAAACCATGATCACCATGGGATTACTGACTTTAGTGTTTGGGAAAGTATTCAACACAATGCTTTCCAAATGTTTCTTTTCCTACAACATTATCTTGGAACTCATAGAAGTCTTTTTTCCCCCATGTTTGAATTCACACCCCCTTCCCCCAATTCCAAGAAACATAGTAATTATACTTGATGATTATACATGATAATTATACAGGAAAATATACCTCTAGGCATTCTGGGTGGTCGCTTGCAAACAGCTTCCACTGTTCTAGAGAGTAATGTTTGTGTATTGTGGTGAACATTGCATACTAGAAAAAAAGAAAGCAATATATTAATAACATTCTACTATTTGAGAAAAAAAATTAAAACACACAATCCATCACTCCAGTTCAACTTATGATTGATACACGACTGAAGAACATTTGGGGAGAGGGCAATGTCAGCACTTGACAGACAGTCATCCATGAAGAGCAGTGCAAAGTGATGTTTTGACTCCCCTATCACTCTTCTTCCATTGCTCAATTGTGGATGGCTGCAGCGTGCCACTATATGAATTCTTCATGCAAATATCTTTCTCAATTCTGCCTGCCAACGTTCCTACAGATTTCCATTTTATATATGTCAGAAAGCAGTGGGACAATAGTTGTTCAAATGAAGGTTAAAAAACAGGTTTGTATTCATTTTATTTGATCTGGGGCAGTTCCAGACAGCACCAAATTGTGCACTTTAGTCGGGGATTAAAAAACCCGGGACCTGAGATGTCCAGATACAGACCTGTCTCCATTGTCCACACTTGCTGCTTCGTCACAGGATTTTGCAGCCCCCAAGATGCTTGTTGTGGGACTCCCGTTGGAAATTTTGGCATTTAAAAAAATAACTTAAGATGCAAACATGTGAAGATGAGAATCATTGTATAAGTTCCGTTCCTGGGTTGTATAAGCTCTAGGGCCATCTGTGCATCTGTGTTGTTCCTGGGTTGTTCCTGATGGCTCTTATTGTGAAAAGATGTACAACATTTACTAGGGGGGCACAATATATTGTCGAAGGCTTTCGTGGCTGGAATCACTAGGCTGCTGTAGGTATTTCGGGCTGTATGGCCATGTTCTAGAAGCATTCTCTCCTGACGTTTCGCCTGATCTATGACAGGCATCCTCAGAGGTTGTAAGGTCTGTTGGAAACTAGGAAAATTGGGTTTATATATCTGTGGAGAATCCCGGGTGGGAGAAAGAACTTTTGTCTGTTGGAGCTAGGTGTGAATGTTTCAATTGGCCACCTTGATTAGCATTTGATGGCCTAACAGTTTTTAGGTGTGGCTTGTTACTGCCTGGGGGATTCCTTTGTTGAGAGGTGATTAGCTGATCCTGATTGTTTCCTGTCTGGAGTTTCTTTATTGCAGGTGAAGACAAAATAAAAGCCACTTACTTTAGTCATAACTCGTGCCATTTCAAAAGTGCCCACAGTGTCCATATTTGCTACAATAACGGGGATCCCTGTGTAGATTTGCTTGGAGTTACGGAATGTGAAGGTGCGCATAAGGTCAACCTGTAAAAAGCAGAATGCATTAGTCATACCAGCAAAGATAACAGCTATTATACAGCATTTAGTGGCGAAAAAACTTCCATAAATACAAAACAGAAGCATAAGATAAGAAATGTAAACAACAAAAAGAAAGCAATTCTAATTATACAATTATTTCCTTGTGTTAGTTTCCGCAGCTTGTTCTATAATGCACCCTTACCGCAGGAATAAAGCATACTCGTCGACACTACATATCCATGGATTCTAAAACCCTTATGCTGGCTGAACTGCTGACCTGAAGGTCAGATGTTCAAATCCGTAGAACGGGGTGAGCTCTCGTCTGTCAGCTCCAGCTTCCCATGCAGGGACATGAGAGAAGCCTCCCACAGGATAATAACACATCCCGGCGTCCCCTGGGCAACGTCTCTGCAGATGGCCAATTCTCTCACACCAGAAACAACTTGCAGTTTCTCAAGTCGCTTCTGACACAATTTTTTAAAAAACATCCATGGCTTAAAAATATTTATTTAAAAATCCAAAGAGCAAATGTTGCGATTTTACACATATAAGAGACAACATTTTATTATACAATTATATATAATGGAATTTGACCATCCAGTTATTTTGGTATGAAGGACAGGGAGATCAATGCAAATGCATACCTGGAGCCTGCTGTATTTTGAAACCACCCACTTTGTTCCTAGCTCTTATTATACAAGGTATTCAACCTTCTCAGCCAAATAGTATTTGTGCCTCATTGGGGTTAAAATTGCTGGAAGAAACATTAACAACCTTAGATGTGCAGATGATACCACATTGATGGCAGAAAGCAAGGAGGAGCTGAGGAGCCTTCTAATCAAGGTGATAGAAGAAAGTGCAAAAGCTGGGTTGCAGTTAAACATTAAAAAAAAACCAAGATTATGGCAACCAGAATGATTGATAACTGGCAAATAGAGGGAGAAAACATGGAGGCAGTGACAGACTTTCTAGGTGCAAAGATTACTGCAGACTCAGACTGCAGCCACGAAATCAGAAGATGTTTACTTCTTGGGAGGAGAGCAATGACCAATCTTGATAAAATGGTGAAGAGTAGAGACATCACACTGGCAATAAAGATCAACATGGTTAAAGCAATGGTATTCCCCGTAGTAACCCACGGATAAGAAAGCTGGACCTTAGGGAAGGCTGAGCGAAGGAAGATAGATGCTTTTGAACTGTGGTGTTGGAAGGAAGTTCTGAGAGTGCCTTGGACCATGAGAAGATCCAACCAGTCCTTACTCCAGCAAATAAAGCCCGACTGATCATTGGAAGGAAGGATATTAGAGGCCAAGATGAAGTATTTTGGCCACATAATGAGAAGACAGGAAAGCTTAGAGAAGACAATGATGCCGGGGGAAATGGAAGGAAAAAGGAAGAGGAGCCGACCAAGGGCAAGATGGATGGATGGCATCCTTGAAGTGACTGGATTGACCTTGAAGGAGCTGGGCGTGGTGACAGCCGACAGGGAGCTTTGGCATGGCCTGGTCCATGAGTTCATGAAGAGTTGGAAGCAATTGAATGAATAAACAACAACAAACTACAACTTCCATGATCTCATAGCATTTGAGTCATGCCATTTAAAGTGGTGTCGAAGTCTATTCATTCTATAAATACATCCCAAGACTTATCTCTAAACTTGTAGGAGCATCTTTTTGCATATTCTGCTTATTACGATTCAGCTCTTGATTATTCCTTCATCAATTCACTACACAATTCCCTGATTATGGAACCAGATGCCTGCCGAGATCCATCAGATCAGACATTTTGGTCATTTTATTCAGGCTTTAGATACCTGTTTTGACACACCTTTGCGATTTAATATGCCCATCTGATTATATACCATTTTACTGATTCCTCTGTAAATGTTCTGTATATTGGTTTTGAAACTGTTTTATTGATGTATGTTGTATCAGTGCTGTTTCCCTGCCTCTGTTCAGTACAGTATACTGAAAAACAGAATATTATTTTTTTCCAAACATGTCATCATATTCTGGGCCTCCTTTTTTCACAAGCAAGAACCAGTATCCCAACCAGGTTTATTTTTCCAACTCAACATTCAAAGAAACTAGAATGCTTTTCTGTGGCCTCACTAGCCCCTTTCACATAGTCGCTAGCCATTTTCAAATGTAATACTATAATGGTTGGAACCAGTTTTACTCATCTAAAAGATAAATCTGCCTGCAAAGAAATCTGTCTGACTTGGCATTACTGACTATGTTTATGTATAAATACACCACTTTACAAATCATAATGTTAAATAGTGGAGAAGATGTAGGAGAATCATAGCCATGGATAATATGAATAAGACATGAGTATGCTGTTTCTGATATAGATTACAAGGAGTTGAATCTTATGTAGATTAAAGCACACAAATAACCAATAGCTGGTGTTTATCCCCCTCTCCCCAGAAAAAACAGCATAGTCACGAGTTATGTCCAAACGTATCTCCCTCTATGAATCATATTGGAGGTTAAGATCATCCAGGCAGGCCCTGTTCTCAGTCCCACCCTCCTTATAGGTGCAACTGGTGGGGACGAGAGACAGGGCCTTCTCATTGGTGGCTCCTCAATTATGGAACTCCCTCCACAATGAAATTAGATCAGCACCCGCCCTCTGGGCCTTCAGGAAAAAAGGGAAAACTTGGCTATGGGACCAAGTCTTTGGGCAGTAAGCAATACAAGGAATGATCAGTGACTTGTCTGACTATGATTCTCCTACATTCATCCAACTAACATTATTATGAGATGGTTTGTGAAAATAAGCTGTAGGTACCTTGGATGCAAAAATCCTTTGCACCAGAACAGGAAAAGGCAGATCGTAAAGTCAGTCATGAGCACAACATACAACCCAATTATACACAGTACGGATATGCAACTTGTACCCTGAAGTGAAACCAAATCTCACATCACTCCCAACTGGTGGTCAAATCTGCTAATTTTCCCATCCTTCCAACCATTTGCTTGGAAACAAATCCCAAGAGATTCAGTAGGGTATACTCTCAAGTAAATATGTAGGACTAGATTTTTACTGACATTTAATGGTCATTCGATCTATTACACCAGGGTGAAAATCACGTCCCTCCAAATGTTAGATTGCAAGTCCCAGCAGGGGCAGCTAATGGCAAGGAATGTTGGATCAATAATAAGGATTGCTATTCTGGCCGTTGAGAACAATGGCAGTAAATGAAAACTGGGAATGATGCAGAGTCTACTGAATGTTATTGGATTGTAGTTTCGCGTAATGAGGGGCGGATCTAGACAGTCTCTTTAATGCAGAAACTTCCGCAATAGAAAGGGGGTTGTCCAGATGATGTTCTGGACAAGTCGGAATTAATCTGCCACAAACCAGGAAAATCCTGGTTTGTGGCAAATTAATTTGATAGTGTGCTTATTCCATGCCTTTTTGGAAGGTGTGGGATAAATCCACTACTGTCTGGATTACAGTCCAGACAGTATTCCCGCAGAAAAGAACTCACCTGGGCTGGATAAGTTCTTTTCTTTTCACTGTGTTTTGGGGACTTCAGGGTAGGGGGTTACAGTGTCCTGATGTTCTACTGGGAAATCCCGGTAGAACATCTGGACACCCACCCCAGGAAGTGCGTGCTTTCTGGGCTGAGTGTAAATGGGCCCCCAGGAAGATCTGCGTTTTTTAAACACAGATTCACCTGGAATAAGGCCTGTCTGGAACCGCCCTAGCAAACACAAACAGTAGTGAGGAATGCTTGGAGATGCAATCCAACAACAGCTGCTTCGTGACAAAGTAAACAAGTATTTGTCTTATTTTACAGAAAGCTGCAGTCAATCCTAGTCCTCTGGTGTATTATACACATAGACACAGGTTCGCAGCTTGGAAGTGATCCTGGATTCATTGCTGAGCCTGGAACCCTAGGTTTCGGTGGTGGCCAGGGGAGATTTTGCACAGTTAAACCTTTTGTGATCTGGCTATGTTGGTCCATGCTCGTTTCATCCCAAATAGATTACTGCAATGCACTCTACTGGGGCTGCCTTTGAAGACTGTTCGGAAATTACAACTAGTCCAACGGGCGGCAGCCAGATTGCTAACTGGAGCGACACACAGGGAGCATACCACTCACTTGTTGTGCCAGCTCCACTGGCTGCCGGTTCACTTGTGAGCTCAATTCAAAGTGCTGGTTTTGACCTATAAAGCCCTATACGGTTCTGGCCCAGCTTACATGTCTGAACACATCTCCCTCTACGTCCCGCCTCACAGTTTAAGATCATCCGAGAAGGCACTGCTCATGCTCCGCCAGCGTCACAAATACGTCTGGCGGGGACGAGAGACAGGGCCTTCTCGGCTGTGGCCTCCCACCTATGCAACTCGCTTCCCACTGAGGTAAGATTGGCTCCGTCCCTCCTGTCATTTAGGAAGAAATTGAAGTCGTGGTTCTGGGACCAGGCTTTTGGATAACAGACATAGATAGCACTTTGGACATGGAACTGGATATGGAATTGACTGGAATGATTTATTTATTTATTTATCATGTCAGGAGCAGACCGAACAGTTGCGTTGCATTTTATAACAAACAAACAAACAGACAGACAGACAGACAAAACACAAAGTTTGCAAGCTTGGTAGTTGATTAAATATCCTTTGACCAATATCTGGCCACTTGGAGTGCCTCTGGTGTTGCTGCAAGAAGGTCCTCCATTGTGCATGTGGCAGGGCTCAGGTTGTATTGCAGCAGGTGGTCAGTGGTTTGCTCTTCTCCACATTCGCATGTCGTGGATTCCAATTCGTAGCCCCATTTCTTGAGGTTGGCTCTGCATCTCATGGTGCCAGAGCGCAGTCTGTTCAGCGCCTTCCAAGTCACCCAGTTTTCTGTGTGCCCAGGGGGGAGTCTCTCATTTGGTATCAGCCATTGATTGAGGTTCTGGGTTTTTAGCCTGCCACTTTTGGCCTCTTGCTTGCTGGGGTGTTCTAGCGAGTGTCTCTGTAGATCTTAGATAACTATGTCTTGATTTAAG